CCAGTGAACTCAATTGTATGCCGTTGCCTGCTGTGTAATGCTTTTATAGCCCATCAACTAGATGTCTCCAGGTCACCAGCGACTGGCCCTGACTTCCCTCCAGCCATCATCCCAACAGAGAATGAACTTGGAACATCATGGACCGAATGGACTCGGCAGCATTATAGGGATTGATCCATGCACTAAGAAAATGATCTTTTCCTCTTGGTCTGTATGTATATGGATGTATATATATGGGAGAGCGATGGTGTATTGAAAATGTGGGATCTGAGCACGACGTGAATGGTATGAAATAAGGGGTGGATAATGTCCTGGGTTCAGCAGTAGCAGTCATGTTTTTTTTTTTCCTTTGTGCTAGCTGGTGCAGTGCTGTTTTGACTTCCAGCCTGGGAACAGTGTTGGTGAAGTTGATGTTTTCAGTTGTTGCTAAATGATGTTTACCCTGACCAAGGACTTTGTGAGGCTCATGCTCTGCCAGGGAGGAGGGGAAGCTGGGAGGAAGCAGAGATGGGGCGCCTGACTCAGGCTAGCCAGGGAGGTATTCCATACCACAGCACGTCATGGCCAGGGTGGGGGGTGACTGGGAGTTACCCGGAAGGACACGGGGCTTCCGGGTGGAACTCGTCTTCTTGGCCGGTGGTATCGTATTCTCTTCCCTTGTTATTTTCCCTTATCATTGTTGTAGTTGATAGTTGCGGTAGTGATTTGTGTACATTGGTTGCTGGACTGTTCTTGTCTCAACCCGCGGGAGTTGCACTCTTTCGATCCTCCTCCCCGTTCCTCCGGGAGTGGGGGAGAACCCCGGTGGGGGGGGGACACGGACCTCGATTGTTGTCAGCTCGGCACCACTCACTGGGAGTGAGTGAACAAGTTACCTGACTGGGTTTAAACCATGACAATAACTATCCAGAACAAACTAGATATGTAACAGTGCATGGCTCAACATGTGTTTCCCACAAGAGCTCTAAGATGGAAAGGAAAGGTGGCATGCATTTACCCTCTCCCAACAGCCAGTCAAGTTACCAGTAAGTGGAACAGTTACCTAGTTAGAAATAGAGAGCCAACATTGATAAGGAATTTAGGCATAGAATTATGTATGGTTGTTTAATATTGATTAGTAGGATTTCTAGGATGTTATCAATTATACAGCATTAATTGAATTCTGCATCGCAGCAAAAATCTGCCATCCATTATAAGGGGTATATCACATCCCTGATATGATAGGGGATGTGATATATCCACTTGATGCCATGCTCTTTGACCCAAGTATCTGTAAGGTTGTTCCAGAAATGAGTCCCATTATCTGACTAAACCCTTTCTCAGGCGCCATGTTGCCATATTCTGGCTTTTGACTTGGATAGTGTAGGTAGTTAGGGCCTGGCGGCCGGAAGATATCGCGCTGTACGGAAAAATAGGGCCCCCTGTTTAATAGCCAATAGTATGTAGCCTGTGATGTAAGCAGACGGAAGTGACGCTGTAAACCCAGAGTATATAACGCTGTGTTGCGAACTAATAAACGCCATTTGCCGTCCACCACACTGGTGTCTGTGAGCTGATGGCCTGAGCGGCCTGGGGTTGGTCGCCGTGCCGTTCCTGAAACAGGTCGCCACGCCTTGCGAAGGCAACAGGATAATTTTCTGCTTAGTAGCTGGTGCAGTGCTGTGTTTTGGCTTCAGTCTGAGAACAGTACTGATAACACACCAAAGTTTTAGTTTTTTCTTAATTTGACTTACCCCAGTCAAGGATTTTTTAGTCTCATGCTCTGCCAGTGAGGAGGAGCACAAGAAGCCAGGAGGAAGAAGAGACAGGACACCCAACCCAAACTAGCCAAAGGGGTATTCCATACCACAGCACATCGTGCCCAGTCTATAAACTGGGGGGAGTTATCCAGAAGGGACTGATCACTTCTTGGGTCAGGCTGGGTATCAGTCAGCAGGTGTTGAGCAATTGCACTGTGCACCCCACCTGTGTTTCCTGAGCTTGCTTTCTGTTTTTCTTGTTGCTGCCTATTATTATTATTACTATTGTTATTGTTGGTATTATTTCTATTATCACACTATTTTACTTAATTTCAATTATTAAACTGTTCTTATCTCAGCCCACAGGTTTACAATTCTCCATTCTTACAATTCTCCTCTTCATCCTGTCAGGGGCAGGGGAAATTAGGGGAGTGGCTGAGTGGTACTGAGTTACCAGCTGCAGTTAAATCACGACAGTCCTTTTTGGCACCCAGTATGAGGCACTGGGTTGCGATAAAGGTAGCTCTGACCTGAGCATGTTAAAATAAATTTGTTGCAAGCATTCATGGTATTGCAGTAGTCAATGGTCATAGCATTCCCAGAGTTAATGTGTATGTGCTCACTGGTACTGCTCTTGTCCTGCCTGCTCCCTGTGATGTCTGTCTGTGAGGCTAAGGTTATCACTCTGTTGTACTTTGGAGGTGGGTTATGATATGATAGACTGGCAGGTCATGAGACTTAATGTGGTCTGCGCTCTCGATGTTGTCGTCACCTTTGCTCCTTGGGAGCCATCTGGTGACAACTATAAGCAATTACACCTTTGGCCATCTCGGGGGGAGCCAACCGGTAACAGAAACGTCTTCCTACTGTGTCCGTCCATTCTTCCTTTCTTCCTTCCTTCCCATATCCTTCTTCTCCTCCAGGATAGCTACAGTAGTAATGTTTGACTAGTTTGTTCCGGATTTTGCACTTGTTGAGGGGTGAAATTCCAAAATGTTGGAAGTGCTCATTGCCGTAGGTACTTGCTTATACAATACCAAGAGCTGATCAGCCTGACTGGGAGGAAGTGGCAAAAGCACCCCATTGTGACTGGTCCAGAGGCTCCATTCATCCTCGGCATAGACTACTTCAAGAGAGGGTACTTCAAAGACCCAGAAGGGTACCAATGGGCTTTTGGTATTGCTGCTCTGGAGACCGAGGAAGTTGAGCAGCTGTCCACCTTGCCTGGTCTCTCAGAGGATCCTTCTGTTGTGGGGTTGCCGAAGGTCGAAGAACAACAAGTGCCAATCATGACCACAACAGTGCACCGGCAGCAAAATCGCACCAACCGAGACTCCCTGATTCCCATCCATAAGCTAATCAGTAGCCTGGACAGTCAAGGAGTGATCAGTAGGACCCGCTTACCCTTTTATAGCCCCATATGGCCAGTGCGAAAGTCTAATGGATAGTGGACACTAACAGTAGACTGTCGTGGCCTGAATGAAGTCACACCACCATTGAGTGCTGCTGTACTGGACATGCTAGAACTTCAGTATGAACTGGAGTCAAAGGCAGCCAAGTGATATGCCACGATTGATATTGCCAATGCATTTTTCTCAATTCCTTTGGCAGCAGAGTGCAGGCCACAGTTTGCTTTTACTTGGAGGGGTGTCCAGTTCACTTGGAACCGACTGCCCCAGGGGTGGAAACACAGCCTTACCATCTGCCATGGACTGATCCAGACTTCACTGGAACAGGGACAAGCTCCAGAACACCTGCAATACATTGGTGACATTATTGTGTGGGGTGATACAGCAGAAGAAGTCTTTCAGAAAGGGAGGAAAATAATCCATATCCTGCTGAAAGCCAGTTTTGCCATAAAACAGAGTAAGGTCAAGGGGCCTACACAGGAGATTTAATTTTGGGGAATAAAATGGCAAGATGGGCTCTTAAAAACTACACTGAGAGCAATGGGTGGTGGGATTTTCAAACACTGGGATAAACATTTACCAAAGGCCACCTGCTTGGTCAACACCAGAGGATCTGCCAACAGGGCTGGCCCAGCCCAGTCAGAACTTTTACATACTGTACAAAGGGATAAAGTTCCTGTAGTGCACATCAAGAATTTGCTGGGGAAGAGAGCCTGGGTTACTCCTGCTTCAGGTAAAGGCAAACCCACTCGTGGGATTGCTTTTGCTCTGAGACCCAGATATACTTGGTGGGTAATGTGGGAAGATGGGGAAGTCCGATGTGGACCTCAAGGGGATTTGATTTTGGGGCAAAACAGTCAATGAACTCAATTGTATGCTGTTGCCTGCTATATAGCACTTCTATAGCTCGCCAACCAGATGTCTTCAGGTCACCAGCGACTAGCCCTTACTTCCCTCCAACCAGCATCACAACAAAGAATGGCCTTTGACAAAACCAGACCAGCTCAGCAGTGACCGGACGACTTCCGCGGTGTCTACAGCAGACAACAATCCAACACTGCACACCGTCTCTCCTGCCCTGAAAGACTGTTACAGGAGATGGAGCACGACATCATGGATTGGATGAACTCAGCAGCTTTACAGGGATTGGTCCATGCACTAAGAAATGATCTCTCTCTCTCTCTCTGTGTCTGTGTATATATATATAGATGTGTGTGTGTGTGTGTATACATATATATGAATATGAGATAGAAGATAGGCTGTATTTTAAAATACGGGATCAGAGCATGATGTTTCATTTTTTTTCCACAATACCCCTTTGCTGTTCAACCCTTTTGGTTATTTTCACATGAGAGACAAGGCATAGCCCTAGGGGTCCTAGCTGAAAATATAGGACCCTATATAAGGGCTGTAGTTTACTTCTCAAAGCAGCTAGATGAAGTAAGGAAAAGAGGGAGCACCTCGCATATGAAGACAGCCTGAGAAAGTTAAGGCTGTTCAGCCTGGAGAAGAGAAGGCTGCGTGGTGACCTCACAGCACTCTTCCAGTATCTGAGGGGAGCACACAGGATTGCTGGAGAGGAACGCCTCATCAAGGACTGTAGCGATAGGACGAGGGTTAATGCACTCCAACTAAAACTGGGGAAGTTTGGGTTAGATATAAGGAAGATGTTCTTTGCTTTAGGGGTGGTGAGGCACTGGAACAGGTTGCTCAAAGAAGTGGTAAATGCTCCACCCCTGGCAGCGTTCAAGGCCAGGTTGGACAGATCCCTGGGCGACATGGTCTGGGGTGAGGCGTTCCTGCCCATGGCGGAGGGCTTAGAACTGAAGTATGTTAAGGTCCTTTCCAGCTGTTACTGTTGATTCGATGATTCTGTGATTCTGTGGAGCTGACCATCAAGCACATCCCCCGTTAGCCTGACCATCAAGCAGCGCCCTTTCCACAGCCCACACCCTCATAGCAGCTGTGCTTCTTTGGGTGTAACATGAGAGATTTATTGGTATCTTTGCACAAGAGAAAGCTCCCAGAGGGAATGGGCCCTGTCAAAGAGGGAGGAGCTCACTGTCCAGGTAGCAACAGGAGTCACTGTTGCCAGGCTCCTTTCCAGTGGGCTCTTCAGCTGCATCTGGGTCCCACTCCCCAGAGCGTGCTTTTGCTGTGGAAGAAAGGTGAGGCAGGAATTCCCACTGCCGATAGAGCAGCGTGTTCTCCGTGCCCAGCGTGCTCAGTTCTGGGGCACCAGCTCCCCGGGGAGGGTCCAGCATGCGTAGATTCTCCGTCCAGACCCCGGTGAACACACAGGGGCACATCAGCGGTGCCTCTCGCTTGGTGCCTGCACAGCCAGAGCTGCCACCAAGAGTTTGGCCCATGTGAAATGCCATTCTGGCCGCAGCCAGTGAGAGAAGGAAGCACGGGGAAAGTCATCTTTGTCGCCGCTGTAGTCTTCAACGGCTGCTATCTCAAAACCATCCAGAAGAGAATGCTGCTGCTCTCGGCAGAGGTCCACTGCACGAGGTTCTTCCTTTCCTTGCAGCAGCCTGCACTCTGTCCGTCATCTCCCTCCTGCATGAGGTGGTCCTCATCTGTCCTCAGCTGTGAACTCTGCAAACACGGTTCTCTGCATGAAGACCACTTTCAGTGCCCCTAGAAGAAGAGCTGTGCTGTAAGCCGATGTTGCAGCTCCTTGAACTCACGCATTGCCTGCTCGTGGGCAGCCGGATCCTGCGCCAGATGCTGGAAGAGGTTGAATGGCTCGGCTCTTTCCAAGGCTGGGGGCAAGACGATCTCCTCAGGAACCTTCTCATTCCCAAAGAAGAAGTGGTTGAGGCGATTCTCCTCCAAGCAGCGGTGCAGGTACCTCGTGATGTCACTCAGCCGCTGCAGGAAATGTGTGCTGCGCCAGCCTGACAGGGGTGTGGTGGTGAGGAGGTGCATCACCACTGTCTTCAAGGCATAGCGGGAAAAGCCTGTGCCCGCCAGCATGCGGTTGCAGAGATGCAGGCAGCTGAGCAAGGTGTCATCTGGGGTCTGATCGAACATCAGCCACAAGAACTTTGCCTCTGCCCAGGCGCAGGTCAGTGTCCACGTTGTGCTTGGGCTGAAGACACCCTCTCTCGCCTGGCTGCTCATGAAGATGTCTGAGTTGTCCAGCTGCACGGCAAAGTTCATCTCAATGAGCATGGTTATCCCAGAGATATGCTCAATTTCCACTTTGCAGGAGCGTCTGGAGGGCAGCACGGTCAGAAGGCAGTAACGTGAACGTAACAGACGCAAGATTGCCTTGTTTTCCCTCACCAAATCCTGGAACCAGCGCGCAGTTTTCTGCGCATCTAGACAGGAGCTGGTGCAGAGGGTGTGCAGGAGGCTGGGCTTCTGCTTCTTCCTGAGCTGCTCCTTGGGGTTGTGAAGGAAGCACCGCATGCCCCCCACCGTCTGCTGAGCAGTGCACATGCACTCCAGCTCCACACGGATGCGGGACTCCTTTGCCACGGTGCCTGGCTCCAGGCGGAAGGTGTGGCCACGGGGGGGTGTCAGGGGCACGAGGAAACGGTAGACAGGCTCGTCGTCCTGGGGACTCCAGCAATCAAAGGCGCTGCCCACTCCCATGGCTGGTCCCAGCTCCGGCAAGAAACCCTTTGACAAGGAAATGGACCCTTGGCAAGCAAAGAGGAGGTTTTCCACCACTGCAAGCACCCACTCGCTCTGGTCCCACAGTTCGTTCTCTGACCACTCATTGCGCCTTGCAATGTACGTGTTCAAATCTTCGGCACTAGAGGCATCTTCTTCACTGTCTTCCTCCTCTTCACTGCTGATGCTGCTGCCCACCTCAGGGCTTCTTTTGCTAAAGCAGCACCAGAGCCCCACAATCAGGAGGAGCAGGAAGCCAGCGGTCACCCAGAACGTCCAGTTCCACAAGTCAGCAGAGAGCAGGCCACTCCAGGTCACACCATTTTGCTGTATTCTCTTCAGCTCCTCGACCTGCTGCTGCTCCAGCTCCTGCAACATCCGAGCCATCTCCTCGATAAGCATCTCCAAATGCTGCTGCATGAGTTCACGTGTGGCTTCATCCAGCTCATCACCGACCATGTGCACGTTCGAGAATATGCCTTCCAGAAACCAGAGTAAGAGCTTTGCGAGACCCATGGCCTGCAGGAGAAAGAAGGAGTTCAGTGGGACTGGGAGGGAGGGAAGGAGGAAGGGAGCTGGTGGCGGGGGAAGCGCAGACAGGAGGCGCAGAGAGCTGCTGACAGGCAGGAGAGGGAACGAGGCAGCTGGGGGGCAGCAAGGCCTGCGCCCAGGCCCGGTGCCAGCAGCAGCGTGCCCTGCCCAAGGCGCTCGCAGCTAGGGTTTCGATGCAGGGTGAGCACCCACCCCCAGGGGCCCACGTTTCTGCCCCTGCCCTTCTCCAGCCCAGCCTCCCCCCTACGCGCGCACTCACTGCTGCCTCAGGCAGGCCTGTGCCAATGCTGCCTGCTGGCACCCTCATATCCATCCCCCATTGTGACGCGTCCCCTGTGCTGTTACAGGCGCCGTGGGCACACCGCAGTCCCGCCCGCACAACCGCGGGCCAGCTAGCAAGCAGAATTTGGAGGGGAGTGAAAGGCAGGATCTCCATAACACAATAAAAATTATTCCCTGAATGCAGCCGGTTCCTGCAACTCCTGGGAGTGGTGGGACCTCTGCCGGGACACACCTCCCATGCCTTGCTGAATTAGAAATAGAACAGGGGGGACCGGAGGGTTGAACCCCGGCCAGTCCCCCGGTTATAATGAAGCCGGGGAAGGAAGACACAAATGTAGAATTTCTAGCAGACACCGGGGCTAAGTTTGCGGTGTTAAATCAACAGTTAGCTTTCATCGATAATGAACCTTTAAATGTGATTGGGGCGACAGGCCAGCAACAGAAGCTACCATGCATGCAACCTCTCCAATGCAAAATGGGTAAAATGAAAGGAATGCATAAATTTTTATATATGCCAAATACCCCAAAATCATTATTAGGAAGGGATCTATCAGAAAAATTGGAAGCAGAGATCAAGTTCTTCTTTTTTTTTTGCCACCCAAGGTCCCTTTCGTATTCAAGCCGCTGTCAGAAAAAAAATCATCTGTCACCAGGGCACCCATCCCGTTCATCAGTGGGCCTACATTGCCTCTGGTGTTAGCTTTATCTGCCATGTATTTGAAAAAGCTCTTTTTGCTGTCCTTGACCCTTCTCGCCAAGTTTAATTCAAAGGAGGCCTTAGTCATCCTAGCTGCCTTCCTACATCCTCTAGCAGCAGCCTTATATTCCTCCCAAGTGGCCAGCCCTCCTTCCATGACCTGTAAACTCTCCTCTTCCACTTGAGCATACCCAGCAATTCCCTACTTAGCCACGCAGGTCTCCTGGCCCTCTTCCTTGACTTCCTATGTGTCAGGATGCTCTGATCTTGAGCTCGGAAAAAGCAATCCTTGAATGCCAACCAACTATCTTGGGCCCCTTTACCTTCAAACAGCCTTGCCCATGGGATTTCCCCTAGCAATTGCTTGAAAAGGGCAAAGTTTGCCCTGCTAAAGTCCAGGGTTGCAATTCTACTTGCTATTCTACTGATCCTACCACACAAGATCCTGAATTCCACCATCTCGTGGTCGCTGCAACCAAGGCAGCCCTCAACCCTTACCGCTTCGACCAGACCCTCCTTGTTAGTGAGGATGAGATCCAGCAGCGCTCCTCTCCTGGTTGGCTCATCCACCATTGCAGGAGGAAGTTACCATCCATACACTGGAGGAACCTCCTGGACTGTGGCTGGGTTGCTGAGTGGTCCTTCCAGCAAACATCGGGGAAGTTAAAATCCCCCACGACGACCACGGCCTGTGACTGTGAGGCCGCTCTCAGCTGCCTGTAGAAGGCCTCGTCAACTTCCTCACCCTGATCTGGTGGTCTGTAACAGACACCCACAACAGTATCGCCCCTGCCCGCCTGCCCCTTAATTCTCACCCACAGACCCTCAACTCGCTCGTCATCTGTCCCTGGACAGAACTCGGTGCATTGTAGTTGCTCCTGCACGTAAAGAGCAACCCCACCACCCCGCCTGGCTGGCCTGTCTTTCCTGAAAAGCACATAGTCCTCCATGACTATATTCCAGTCATGTGAGCTGTCCCACCACGTCTCTGTAATTGCCACCAGATCATAGTCTCCTGACTTAACACAGGTTTCTAACTCCTCCTGCACTCCAACTAAAACTGGGGAAGTTTGGGTTAGATATAAGGAAGATGTTCTTTGCTTTAGGGGTGGTGAGGCACTGGAACAGGTTGCTCAAAGAAGTGGTAAATGCTCCACCCCTGGCAGCGTTCAAGGCCAGGTTGGACAGATCCCTGGGCGACATGGTCTGGGGTGAGGCGTTCCTGCCCATGGCGGAGGGCTTAGAACTGAAGTATGTTAAGGTCCTTTCCAGCTGTTACTGTTGATTCGATGATTCTGTGATTCTGTGGAGCTGACCATCAAGCACATCCCCCGTTAGCCTGACCATCAAGCAGCGCCCTTTCCACAGCCCACACCCTCATAGCAGCTGTGCTTCTTTGGGTGTAACATGAGAGATTTATTGGTATCTTTGCACAAGAGAAAGCTCCCAGAGGGAATGGGCCCTGTCAAAGAGGGAGGAGCTCACTGTCCAGGTAGCAACAGGAGTCACTGTTGCCAGGCTCCTTTCCAGTGGGCTCTTCAGCTGCATCTGGGTCCCACTCCCCAGAGCGTGCTTTTGCTGTGGAAGAAAGGTGAGGCAGGAATTCCCACTGCCGATAGAGCAGCGTGTTCTCCGTGCCCAGCGTGCTCAGTTCTGGGGCACCAGCTCCCCGGGGAGGGTCCAGCATGCGTAGATTCTCCGTCCAGACCCCGGTGAACACACAGGGGCACATCAGCGGTGCCTCTCGCTTGGTGCCTGCACAGCCAGAGCTGCCACCAAGAGTTTGGCCCATGTGAAATGCCATTCTGGCCGCAGCCAGTGAGAGAAGGAAGCACGGGGAAAGTCATCTTTGTCGCCGCTGTAGTCTTCAACGGCTGCTATCTCAAAACCATCCAGAAGAGAATGCTGCTGCTCTCGGCAGAGGTCCACTGCACGAGGTTCTTCCTTTCCTTGCAGCAGCCTGCACTCTGTCCGTCATCTCCCTCCTGCATGAGGTGGTCCTCATCTGTCCTCAGCTGTGAACTCTGCAAACACGGTTCTCTGCATGAAGACCACTTTCAGTGCCCCTAGAAGAAGAGCTGTGCTGTAAGCCGATGTTGCAGCTCCTTGAACTCACGCATTGCCTGCTCGTGGGCAGCCGGATCCTGCGCCAGATGCTGGAAGAGGTTGAATGGCTCGGCTCTTTCCAAGGCTGGGGGCAAGACGATCTCCTCAGGAACCTTCTCATTCCCAAAGAAGAAGTGGTTGAGGCGATTCTCCTCCAAGCAGCGGTGCAGGTACCTCGTGATGTCACTCAGCCGCTGCAGGAAATGTGTGCTGCGCCAGCCTGACAGGGGTGTGGTGGTGAGGAGGTGCATCACCACTGTCTTCAAGGCATAGCGGGAAAAGCCTGTGCCCGCCAGCATGCGGTTGCAGAGATGCAGGCAGCTGAGCAAGGTGTCATCTGGGGTCTGATCGAACATCAGCCACAAGAACTTTGCCTCTGCCCAGGCGCAGGTCAGTGTCCACGTTGTGCTTGGGCTGAAGACACCCTCTCTCGCCTGGCTGCTCATGAAGATGTCTGAGTTGTCCAGCTGCACGGCAAAGTTCATCTCAATGAGCATGGTTATCCCAGAGATATGCTCAATTTCCACTTTGCAGGAGCGTCTGGAGGGCAGCACGGTCAGAAGGCAGTAACGTGAACGTAACAGACGCAAGATTGCCTTGTTTTCCCTCACCAAATCCTGGAACCAGCGCGCAGTTTTCTGCGCATCTAGACAGGAGCTGGTGCAGAGGGTGTGCAGGAGGCTGGGCTTCTGCTTCTTCCTGAGCTGCTCCTTGGGGTTGTGAAGGAAGCACCGCATGCCCCCCACCGTCTGCTGAGCAGTGCACATGCACTCCAGCTCCACACGGATGCGGGACTCCTTTGCCACGGTGCCTGGCTCCAGGCGGAAGGTGTGGCCACGGGGGGGTGTCAGGGGCACGAGGAAACGGTAGACAGGCTCGTCGTCCTGGGGACTCCAGCAATCAAAGGCGCTGCCCACTCCCATGGCTGGTCCCAGCTCCGGCAAGAAACCCTTTGACAAGGAAATGGACCCTTGGCAAGCAAAGAGGAGGTTTTCCACCACTGCAAGCACCCACTCGCTCTGGTCCCACAGTTCGTTCTCTGACCACTCATTGCGCCTTGCAATGTACGTGTTCAAATCTTCGGCACTAGAGGCATCTTCTTCACTGTCTTCCTCCTCTTCACTGCTGATGCTGCTGCCCACCTCAGGGCTTCTTTTGCTAAAGCAGCACCAGAGCCCCACAATCAGGAGGAGCAGGAAGCCAGCGGTCACCCAGAACGTCCAGTTCCACAAGTCAGCAGAGAGCAGGCCACTCCAGGTCACACCATTTTGCTGTATTCTCTTCAGCTCCTCGACCTGCTGCTGCTCCAGCTCCTGCAACATCCGAGCCATCTCCTCGATAAGCATCTCCAAATGCTGCTGCATGAGTTCACGTGTGGCTTCATCCAGCTCATCACCGACCATGTGCACGTTCGAGAATATGCCTTCCAGAAACCAGAGTAAGAGCTTTGCGAGACCCATGGCCTGCAGGAGAAAGAAGGAGTTCAGTGGGACTGGGAGGGAGGGAAGGAGGAAGGGAGCTGGTGGCGGGGGAAGCGCAGACAGGAGGCGCAGAGAGCTGCTGACAGGCAGGAGAGGGAACGAGGCAGCTGGGGGGCAGCAAGGCCTGCGCCCAGGCCCGGTGCCAGCAGCAGCGTGCCCTGCCCAAGGCGCTCGCAGCTAGGGTTTCGATGCAGGGTGAGCACCCACCCCCAGGGGCCCACGTTTCTGCCCCTGCCCTTCTCCAGCCCAGCCTCCCCCCTACGCGCGCACTCACTGCTGCCTCAGGCAGGCCTGTGCCAATGCTGCCTGCTGGCACCCTCATATCCATCCCCCATTGTGACGCGTCCCCTGTGCTGTTACAGGCGCCGCGAGCACACCGCAGTCCCGCCCGCACAACCGCGGGCCAGCTAGCAAGCAGAATTTGGAGGGGAGTGAAAGGCAGGATCTCCATAACACAATAAAAATTATTCCCTGAATGCAGCCGGTTCCTGCAACTCCTGGGAGTGGTGGGACCTCTGCCGGGACACACCTCCCATGCCTTGCTGAATTAGAAATAGAACAGGGGGGACCGGAGGGTTGAACCCCGGCCAGTCCCCCGGTTATAATGAAGCCGGGGAAGGAAGACACAAATGTAGAATTTCTAGCAGACACCGGGGCTAAGTTTGCGGTGTTAAATCAACAGTTAGCTTTCATCGATAATGAACCTTTAAATGTGATTGGGGCGACAGGCCAGCAACAGAAGCTACCATGCATGCAACCTCTCCAATGCAAAATGGGTAAAATGAAAGGAATGCATAAATTTTTATATATGCCAAATACCCCAAAATCATTATTAGGAAGGGATCTATCAGAAAAATTGGAAGCAGAGATCAAGTTCTTCTTTTTTTTGCCACCCAAGGCCCCTTTCGTAATCAAGCCACACTCACAAAGAAAAATCTTTTAAACGCATACAGATGCATCATGGTCACAGAGCAGCGCTCTGTGATTATTTCAAGTGATTTTATATGTAGAAAACATGTCTTCCTGTAAATTATTAAGTTACGCAGTCTCTTCATTAGGACCTGTTATTTGTACTTTCTGGTTTGTGCAGTAAGGCTGCAAAAGGAGTATCACCTTTTAAAGAAATCCACTGTATTCCATTATTAGTTTATACAGCAGTTTGCTGTTACAAGAACACACAGATCTTATAAGGGACTCTTTCAACAGTTAGGCATTGTTATTGCCATTTTACAGAAGGGAAAATGAAGGCAGAGAGAGGTGAAGCTTGGTTTTGAAAGTCACTTAACGAGTCAGAACTGGGAACAGGACATGAATCTCATGCTCTTTACCAGCTATGCTACCGGCATGGAAGAATAAACTGGTTTACACCTGAATTTACTCTCTGAATTTCACCTGAGAGGTAAGAAATCTCTGAAGGATGACACCAACTGAGGATCGCACCAAGCCATTTTGAAACAGAGCATTGGTAAAAAGGGAAAGGGATGGTTGTTCCTTAACTTGCTGTGGAAGTGGGGCTGGTTTTCCTTGGTTATGTATGTGCTCTGTGGAATACTGAACTGAGTTAAAAAGCAAGTATTTCCAAATAATAAACCGTAGAAATGAATAACAAAACAGTGCTCTCTGTTGATTTTTGTTTTCTGCCGGTCTCATCAGTCTCCAATGCCTCCTTCTTTCAGTCTGCAGATGCATTGATAATGTAGAAGCCCTTGATTTTGGCAGGTTATGCAGGGTAGAACAGGGTGTTTGACATCTGCCTGCACCCACAGCTTTCTGGACCTTAATAGATACTGTTGGTGCTGTACCTGCAAGCTACAGTTTAGATGGCAATGGGACAGTCTCAAGGGAAGGTTGAACTGGGGCAGCAGAAGTCTTCTTGTCAATTTATGGGTTTTGGAGAAGTGTTATTGCTCGATAGCTGTCTCTGTTGGTTTCCACAAGTAAAAATTACAGTTATGAGCCTTTACATCCACTTCTTCAGCTCCTTGAGGAACAAGCAGCATTGAATAGATTTGTCAGTCCTGCTGGCTCAAGGTCTTGGGGTGCATGAGAGAAACGCTGCCCCCACTGGCGATGTTTTGTTTAAGTAGCATCTACGAGGCTTGTATTAACTTGCATCCATGCAGTCTGTATTCATGATCTCCCAGTACACAGCAATTATGGTGGCTGGTGCATCAGATATACTGAAGAAGGTCCCCATTTACCTTCCCAGCTATATAGACAGGTTATAACTGTGATTATAAAGCAGGTGTGGGATGCCAGCTTCAGCATCAGATAAGGATATTGTACCTCCAGCACTTAGGAAACACTTAGTTTTCATGACTGGGGTGAATGGTGACAGTCTAGCCCAGTGTATGGACACCTGGAGTGGAAAATAGGCAATGATGGTGCTTTGGCTCAGCCCAGATTCCCTTTCTCTCAGTCTCAGTAGCTGGAACAAGTGATAGCTCCAGCAGCCTCCACCAAAATCATGCTTTCAGCTTTTAATCTAGGCAAAATAAGGAGAGAAGCACAGTCACGGCTAACAGAAACTATCCTTAACTTTATGAGGGATGGCTTCAAATGGAAAACTCCACTGAGGGAATATGGGTTATCCCTTCCTTTCTTCCCCAAAGAACCCTATTTGTTAACAATCCAGTACTGAACAGATGCTTTGCTTGCTCTCCCTCTTTCCCTCTTCAAGTGTCAATCCAAGTGCTGTGTGGTGGGATACTCCTCTCATGTCGAAAAATCTGTAGTCATTATTAAAGTTTTGCAGGCAGGTATGAAGAAACAAACTGAAAAAGGTGATGTGTATTCCCTGTTCGAGAGCTAGAGGAAAACAAAGGATCTTGCAGTCAAGGGCTTCTGTAGATGCATGCACAGATAGAAAACCTGCTATCTTGGAAATGGGGCTAGAAGGAAACCCAGCTTAGTATATCTAAACTTAGAGTAGGCAGCATGAGAAAGATGAAGTTTCCTGGCCCCTTACCCACCCTGATCAAACCATTTCAACTGAAGACAATATAAAAATTCCCCCAAGATTTTGTTTTTTTTTTTCCCATCCATTTTCCCCTCAGATACACTGAGGAAAGAATCTACCTGTATTATCTTCATGTGTATTGTGCAGATGAGGAAATGCTCCATTTGTACATGCAAAGGGATTTCACTTGTCTCACAGGGCTAGGAGTCTAGACACATGCAAGGGTGAAGCCATAGGTGACATTATTTGTACAGGAATAGTTTAAATCTGAGGAAGAAACACACCAACACCCTGCAGTTTCAAAAAAGTGAAAGGAAACATGAAACATCCAGTTTCTACAAACCCTTTTCCAGTAAGTCTGAAGAAAATCTTCAAACTTTTAAGGGTTTGCAAAACTACTTAACCTTCCTTCACAGGTTCCTGTTTTCTTCTGAGGCCAAACAGATTTATGTGTGAAAGGACAGCCTGCACTAGACAGACCGTTGCCATATGCCACTTCTTGTTTACACCAGTTCTGCAAAGCTAATCCCAGAGTTTCCGTCTTTTCTTGTGTTTTCAAACTCAGTAGAAATGAAAAGGCTCAAAGAGCAGAAGAGGTGGCATATTGCTTCTTCAGAGGATGTTTCTAAATTGGAGAGACATCAATTTGATAGATGGACACTCGGTGGATAAAGAACTGGCTGGATGGCCACACACAGAGAGTTGTGGTCAATGGCTCAATGTCCAGCTGGAGACAAGTAATGAGTGGTGCCCCTCAGGGGTCGGTGCTGGGACCGGTCTTGTTTAACATCTTTGTAGGTGACAAGGACAGTGGGATTGAGTGCGCCCTCAGGAAGTTTGCCAATGACACCAAGCTGTGTGGTTCGGTTGATACGCTGGAGGGAAGGAATGCCATCCAGAGGGACCTTGACATGCTTGTGAGGTGGGCTGATGCCAACCTTATGACGTTTAACCATGCCAAGTGCAAGGTCCTACACCTTGCACCAGAGAAGAGATTCAGAGCAGCCCTGCAGAGAAGGACTTGGGGGTGCTGGTCGATGAGAAACTTAACATGAACCAGCTTCATTGTGCTCTCGCAGCCCAGAAAGCCAACTGTATCCTGGGCTGCATCAAAAGAAGCGTGACCAGGAGGTCAAAGGGTGTGATCCTGCCCCTCTACTCTGATCTCGTGAGACATCACCTGGAGTTTTGTGTGCAGTTCTGGTGTCCTCAACATAAGAAGTACATGGAACTGTTGGAACAAGTCCAGAGAAGGGCCACGAGGATGATCGGGGGACTGGAGCACCTCCCGTATGAAGACAGGCTGAGGAAGTTGGGGCTGTTCAGCGTGGAGAAGAGAAGGCTGTGTGGAGACCTCATAGCAGCCTTCCAGTATCTGAAGGGGGCCTATAACGATGCTGGGGATGAAGTATTCATTAAGGACTGTAGTGATAGGACAAGGGGTAACAGGTTCAAACTTAAACAGGGGAAGTTTAGATTGGCTACAAAGAGGAAGTTCTTTAGTGTAAGGGTGGTGAGGCACTGGAATAGGTTGCCCAAGGAGGTTGTGAATGCTCCATCCCTGGCAGCGTTCAAGGCCAGGTTGGACAGAACCTTGGGTGACATGGTTTAGTGTGCAGTGTCCCTGGCCATGGCAGGGGTGCTGGAACTTGATGATCTTAAGGTCCTTTCCAGCCCTAACTATTCTATGATTCTATGATTTGCTTCAGTGTTTTCTCATTACTAAAGTAAGGCATCTGCTGAAATAACAAAGAAATCGTGCACAAAACAAAATGCTTAAAAGTCTAAGAGCAAGCAAGTTAATCTGAGTGTTAAGAATGTTCCTGGTGCAGCCAAACTCAGATCTGTCTGCTATTTATTCCAAACTCAGTGCTTGACGACCTTTTGAGTGAAGACATTTTTTCTAATAGCAAATCTAAACCTCCCCTATCACAGCTTGAGGCTATTGCCTCTTGCTCTAGCGCTTGTTACTTGGGAGTAGGGACAAACACCCACCTCACTACAGTGGGCTTCTGAGGTCATTTGAGCTTGCTCTGGAGGCCAGTTCTTGGAGTTGGCAGGCCACAGAGGAGGGGAAATAAGGTTTTTCCTAGCAAGCTCTCTGTGGACCATTTACAGGCTATCCTCACCTGTCCCCAGAGCCTCTTGAGCAGGAGATGGCCACTTGCCAGCTCCTCACATCCTGACCTGCTTTTCCTGAGAACTCAGCAAGACAGAGTTTCACAGACAAGAGGAAATTCCTAAACAGCATGCAGCCCAGAGAGTGGAAAAGTTTTTTTGAGAGGGTTGGGTTTGTTTTTTTTTTTGTGGTTTGGGTTTGGATTTGGTTTTTGTTGTTTGTTTGGGTTTTTTGGTTTTTTTTTTCCCAACTTCCACATGAATGTGTTTGACGGCTCACTGTTGCTGTCAGTGCAGAATCCCACTGGAAACCAGAGCTGGGAGGGCTCTTCCTGCCTGGGGGAGGCATCACCATCTGTCACTCTTTGTTCTTTGCTGTGTCCCACTGAAGGCCATGCGCAGTGGCAAGCTGCAGACAGGTTTGCTGGTGGCTGGATACTTTATCTATCTGCTTGTGGGTGCTGCTGTGTTCCAGGCACTGGAGAGAACTGCTGAGAAGCAGGAGAAAATGGCAGCTGCCCAGATGAAGGAGGCTTTTCTGCAGAACTTCACTCACCTCACAGTGGCGGAAGTGGAACAGTTTATGAAGGTGCGTGGCAGCCCTGTGGAAGCCCTTTCTCCCTCCTGTCTTCCGATCACATGTTGTTTCCTCTTCAGCCTTGCTATCCAGATAACTTTCTCTGCTTTCCTACTGATGTAGTCATTGGGATGCTTATACCAATCCCCAAGCTTGCTCTCCAGTCTGAGCAGGCAGGTCACTCTGATGGTAAATACATCTTGTGAAGTTTGACAAAACTTTATGTGTTAGCTATTAATAGTCCCCATCCCACAGTTTCCCGATTCTTTGGGGTCTTGACTCCTCTTGATTCAGCTTTTGGTGTGGCTGAATTATCTACAGTGGGTGGCATGGCAGGAAAAATGAAGCTGTCTGAAATGCATGGGCATGGTTGCCATATAGAACAGTGTCAGAGATAGCCCAAAGAAACCATATGGCAAGGTCAGAAGTAATCTGTTGGGAAAAAATAAAGAAGCCCAAATCAATACAAGGAGGATGGCATAGTGAGGGTTTACTTTTTGAAGATGCTGCAGAAGTAAAACTGATAGCCTGGGCAAGGGAAAGGTGTTTCTGATCATGGCACAGGAGGCTAAGGATGAGTACATTTGTGTCCTGGGTTCAGCAGTAGCAGTCATTTTTTCTCCTTCTTGGTAGCTGGTGCAGTGCAGTGTTTTGACTTTCTGCTCGGCAACAGAGCTGATAACAAGGATGTTTTGGTTTGGCCAAGGACTTTGTGAGCCTCATGCTCTGCCAGGGAGGAGGGGAAGCCAGGAGGAAGCAGAGACAGGACACCTGACCCAAACTGACCAAAGAGGTATTCCATACCACAGCACGGCATGCGCAGGATGTAACTGGGAGTTAGCTGGAAGGGCTGAGAGACTGCAGGGTTGGAGGAGGTATCGGTCGGAGCTTGGTCGGGCTTGGGGGCGAGTTATTGGTCGGCTGGTGCTGAGGTGTTGTATTCTCTTCCCTTGTTATTTCCTTTATCATTATTATCATTGGTGGTAGCAGTAGTGATCTCTGTTATACCTTAGTTACTAAACTGTTCTTATCTCAACCCGTGGGAGTTGCATTCTTTTCGATTCTCCTCTGTGTCCCTCCGAGAGCAGGGGGAGGGCAAGAAAGGGGGGGAAGTGAGCGAACGAATTGCCTGACTGGGTTTAAACCCCGACAGTTCTTTTTGGCGCCCAACGTGGGGCACGAAGGGTTGAGATAACGACAGATCTGACTGGATTAATAGTCACTCGTCACAATGACGATTTATTGGCTCTCAGAGTTGTTCTTGTTGATCTCACAGCTTCAGACCGTTGTAACTTACGTAGAGCCGGTATTCGCTGTGTTAGTGTTTATTAAGTGTGGGGCTTGGGCTAAGGTTCTTGTCTCACTGTGCTTTATGGCAATGGCTTGTAATACGGGCGGGCTCCAGCAGCAGGGCGGGACGGACGTGGCCGTGGACTTGTACCTGCCCGTCCGGCTGCTCTTCACCGGCCTGGCCCTCGCCCTCGCCTCCATCTTCGTGAGGCTGCGGGGAGCCGAGGGGGAGCGGCCCCGGGAGCCGGCGGCAGCCGAACCGGCCCGGGAGAGCGGCCCTGGGCACCAAGCGGCGGCGGGAGCGGGGCCGGAGGCCGCGAGGGGACGGCTGCCGGTGGAGGAGGTCGGGGCGGTCGAGGAGAGGAAGGAGGCGGCTGCCGAGCAGAGGGAGAAGGCGGCGGAGGAGCCGAGCCCCGCGGCCGAGCCCAGCCCCGTGACGGCCGAGAGCATTCCCCGGAAGCCGCCCGCCGAGCCCCAGGAGGACGCAGGAGATCACGCAGCACTTCCCAGCAAGGCAGAGGAGGAAGAGCTGGACTCCGGAAAAGAGAAGCTGGCGGTGGGAGAGCCGGCAAGCACAGCAGCTACACCAGCCCCAGTGACAAGTACAGCAGCATCAACTGAGAGTTCTGAAGGTTTTGAATGGCCTTTGGGTATCCTTGGGACCTGCCTGCTGATCGTGATGGGGATCAGCATGTTGGCACACACACAGGCTGTGTTCTACCCACAACCATTTTGTCTGATCTCAAAAGTTAAGCAGAGTCAGGTTTGGGTCTTGTCTGGGGTTAGACAACAATATAGGGGGACCAAAAGGTTTTCTCCAAGGCTGGACAGTCATGAGTGGCAGGGTGTGTGGGACAGTATGGGCAAGTATCTAGTCCACTGGGCCCCTCCAGTGCTTTGGAAGCATCGGAGATGGAAGGCAGCTGTATGGAGTCCCCAGCAACAAGCTGCAGAAACTGCTTAAGGGGACAGTGAATTATTTTGAGCCTGGTGGGCCCATGGCACTTCAGGCCATCAGAGCAGAGATGCAACACAGAGATGGACTCATGATCGAGGGGTGGACTTAGCAATGGACACTATTGCCCAGGTTATTCACAAGTGTGAACACTGCACACAGTCTCTCCTGCTCTGGAAGACTGTTAGAAGAGATGGAGCCTGCCATCATGGACCAGATGGACTCAGCAGCTTTATAGGGACTGGTCCATGCACTAAGATAAGAGTGATGGTATATTGAAAATGTGGGATCTGAGCATGACGTGAATGGTATGGAATAAGGGGTGGATAATGTCCTGGGTTCAGCAGTAGCAGTCATGTTTTTCTCCTTCTTGGTAGCTGGTGCAGTGCTGTGTTTTGACTTTCTGCTCGGCAACAGAGCTGATAACAAGGATGTTTTGGTTTGGCCAAGGACTTTGTGAGCCTCATGCTCTGCCAGGGAGGAGGGGAAGCTGGCAGGAAGCAGAGACGGGACACCTGACCCAAACTGACCAAAGAGGTATCCCATACCACAGCACGTCATGCCCAGGATGTAACGGGGAGTTAGCCGGAAGGGCTGAGAGACTGCAGGGTTGGAGGAGGTATCGGTCGGAGCTTGGTCGGGCTTGGGGGCGAGTTATCGGTCAGCTGGTGCTGAGGTGTTGTATTCTCTTCCCTTGTTATTTCCTTTATCATTATTATCATTGGTGGTAGCAGTAGTGATTTGTGTTATACCTTAGTTACTAAACTGTTCTTATCTCAACCCGTGGGAGTTGCATTCTTTTCGATTCTCCTCTCCGTCCCTCCGAGAGCAGGGGGAGGGCAAGAAAGGGGGGTAAGTGAGCGAATGAATTACCTGACTGGGTTTAAACCACGACAATTTGTCTCCAAATTGTTGGTATATCCTAGTTCTAGCTGTTGCAGTGAAGAAGGAAATGGGAAGTGCAATCAGCCTTATGGTAAGCATTTCTGCATAGGAAATTAATTGCTAGTTCACAGGATAAGGAAAGGAGGGGAAGAACTGGTATGTCTAATAACACAACTAGTGATCCAGCCCGAGTTCATACATGCCTGCACCCTCTTCACTTATTTTTTTTTTCTGTGTTGGTAGTGGGCTAAAAAAAGGAGAAAACTTTTGAAGACAGTGAAGTCTTTGTGCAAGGGCTGTGGAATAATTCCCGTTAGCTTTGATTTTTTGGAACACCAGCACTAAAGATAGTGAGCATGGAAGAGGGAAGGAAGATTTTTTCTGGTGCAATTTATTCCAGCTTTTGTCATGCCTCTGGCAGGGTTCAGCTCTGGATTTTCTCTTGCTGTTTCTGTACAAACCAGCCTGCCTTTCAGATGTCCAGTCCAATGTTCTCTGCTTGCTAAAGGCAGGGACTTCTGCATAGTGTTTGGCGTTTTAATTCATCTAACCTCATCTCAAAGATCACGTTGTAAATATGTGTATGTGTGTTCATGCATGCAGTTGTGAGAAGAGTGCATATGTCAGGCTAAATTGTGGTTGTGGTAACACCAAGAGTAATGCTTTGTTAATCAATTGACTTTCTCTGAAATTAAATCTGTGATACTAATCAGAATATAAAATTAAAATGAAATTCTCTTGTGTGTCACATGTACACTGCTATAACTCACTAATGCCCTCTGGGAGGGATCGGAGTCACTGCTCACTGTGCCTGCATAAAAGTGGGTGATTAGATCTTGTATCCACCTCTGTCATCTTAAGGGCAAACTCAAAACCATCAACAAGCCACTCCATCATGTAAGTCAGTGGTCTGTCTTGCTCTGCAACATCCTAGTCATATGTAGGATCATTTTTTCTAAAGTACTTAGCCTAAAAGAGCAGAGGTCCTTGATCATGCTAAAGTAAGCAAGTTTTCCTAACAACCATTAGAGCAGTCAGCATAAACAGGGCAAAAGAATGACATTCAAAAACACTGACGGTGAAGGTGTGAATAGTGTCAAGAGTATCACCGAGTACTGGTGAGTGGTATTTACAGGAAAGGAGCAGTAGCTGGCTAAATCTATTCTTTCAGCAAGCACTTCAGAAAAGCAGCTGTGTTGATACCAAATGTTTGCTTTCACTCCCAGAACCTGACTGACGCCATTCAGAATGGAGTATACCCTGTTGGAAATGAATCACAGATTGAAGACAGCAACTGGGATTTCAGTAACTCCTTCTTCTTTGCAGGCACGGTTGTCTCCACAATAGGTAAGTCTGATGCTCTACATGTATCTGTGTGTAATGCCTGGTTATCAGGACCTGAATTGATATTTTAAAGAATAAAAACTTCAGCCCTTCATTGTCATGGATGGTAGACAGCAACAGACTTGGTCCTGAGACCTCTGGTCCTGAGACCTCACACACAACTCTTTGTACACTTATTTTGGTTTTTCGCATTATTTCACACTTGTTTCTTTTTGAGCCATCTGTTAAAATGCTCAGTCTGCTGCCAGTTGTGGGTGGGAGGCAAACTTCACTTTCCTCGTCTTTGTTTTAGGGTAAAATAGGCTTTAAATCCAAGAGTGCTGTAAAGCATAAAAGAATTACAAGAAAGAAGTGAACTTTCCTTGGGCATGGACACTGTCTCAATAATCTATCCTGAGCTGTTCGTGCACATATTGAACTAGTAATACGCCAGGATGGAAAAAGTGGGAAGGGGGAAAAACAAATGCTGAGACTTTTACACTGCTTCTTCAAGCTCTTCTAACCTTTTTAGGGCCTGCCTATCTGTCCCTTTCTCTCAAATATGAATCCCCAAAAGTGCAGGCCTGCCAAATTTAAGCATAAAATCCATGCCATTAGCTCCCGCTTCACACTCAAATGCAGTGAAAGTCAAAGCTATGTTTCTTCAGAGTAAAGCTGAGGCCTCATTCACACTACACTGTGAGCATGGCTCCTGCACTGAGATGTGAGTGTGACATGTCACAAGGGTCCCAGTGCTGTCCCAGAATCATGGTGGGTGTGCAGATGTTGCACGAGCCCACGCAGGAGACCTCCTGCTGTAGAAGAGAGAAAGGCTTCCAAGCCATCAAACAAATGACAAATGTTCCATGGTTACAACATTCACGTATCAATAAAGCTTCCCTAGTTTGTCAGCATTTTGCTACTAGCCAATCCATTCATTGCCACCACCTGTATTACTGTATTTTTTCATTGCAACATTTCTTTGCCAAACAAATCAATCGCTTTCCAAAAAATTTGTTTCCCTAGTGAGGCAATGTCATGGTTTAACCCCAGCCAACAGCTAAGCACCTCTCACTCTGCCCCAGTTGGGTGGGGGAGAGAATCAGAAGAGTAAAAGTGAGAAAACTCATGGGTTGAGATGAAGACAGTTTAATAGGTAAAGCAGAAGCTATTTGCACCAGCAGAGCAAACAGAGAAATTGATTCACTACTTCCCATCAGAAGGCAGGTGTTCAGCCATCTCCAGGAAAGCAGGGTTCCATCACATGTAACAGTTACTTGGGAAAACAAAATGCCATAACTCTGAATATCCCTCCTTTTCTTCTTCCTCCCCCAACTTTATATGCTAAGCATGATGTACTGTGGTATATCCCTTTGGTTGGTTGGTTGGGATCAGCCGTCCTGACTGTGTACCCTCCCAACTTCTTGTGCACCCCCACTGCCTGTGCTGTGCACCCCAACTTGCCTGCTCACTGATGGAGTGGGGTGAGGAGCAGAAAAGGACTTGAGTCTGCTCAGCACTGCTCAGCAATAATAAAATAAGCCCTGACTTATCAACACTGTTTTCAGCACAGATTCAAACCATAGCCCCATACTAGCTACTATGAAGAAAATTAACTCTGTATCTGCCAACACTAACACAGGTGAACAGACCATCCCAGGATGGTCTGTTTCTCTGCACCTTTGCCACATAAGTCTGTTGTGAAGGTACATCAGGTACTTCCACTCATCTTCACCAGGTTTTGTCATGAAAATTTCTGCAACAGAGAGCACAAGACAGCTCAGGCATTTGGGGCCTCCTATGCAGTAAACCAATTAGTTGTTTTATTTGTCTCTTCACCAAAATAAAACCGCATTTTCCAAGTAGTGGATGCCTTTAGATGAACTGTGCTTGGGAAAGTGCCTTTTCTCAGGATCACTGATAGAGTAAGGACATACAGAAAGCACAGGACTTTTGCACTCAGGGACATACCTCATGGGGTCTAAGAACAGTCTCCATTCCATTAAAGGAGATGTCTGGAGTTCTGCAGCTGTTGTTCTATTATTTATCTAAGTGGATAAATACTCTTTTAGTAGGACTTTATGACAAATATCTCTCTGGCATGAATAAATCAGCCACCAGTAAGGTCTGGACTAATTAGCACCACCTATTCTAATACGCACTACACTGCTCCAGGACTGGAGCCAGTATCTGAGCATTTCAGCTTGCTGGGATTTAGCCAAGGTCACTAGCAGACAGACAAATTGACAAGAAGCTAGTGATGGCTGTGTGTGATTCTGACATGGCAAACAGCTTGTGACTCCAGCCTTGATGTCTTCCAGGACCCCAGACTTCTGGGTTTTGTCTTTCCATGTGTTTGTCACAGGACAGTGCATGTTTCCCATAACTGCTTTTAGATTCTGTTTTTCGTTCCCACTAAGACTGGGTTGGGAGTACACAGTGCTCCCTGCATCCCCCAAAACATGCATGGTGAATCACTTTCTTGCTGCTTTTTTCTGGAAAATAGTATGCATGTTGACTAAGATGTGCTAGCCACATCTTTTAGGGTCAAAGGCAGGCCAGGTTGGGGTAGGTATGAATGTGACTGTGGCTGCTCCAGTTCTCTGGGATATCTCCTCTGACCCTGTTTTTTTCATAGGCTATGGCACATTACGTCCTAAAACTGCTGGAGGCCAGATCTTCTGTGTCTTTTTTGCTCTGTTCGGAATCCCTCTGAATATTGTTTTTCTACATCGTGTCGGTAAGATGCTCTCACTGCTATGTAAAAAGCTGGGGAAATTCCTGTACGAGAAAGGAATGAGAAAGGTAATTGGCTTTAATTACTTGGGCAGTTATATGCTCATTTCTAGTTTTATTTTCAAGGTGTATGCTGGCATTATCCCCTGTTATATTTGTTCTCATGCTGTGTTAGGCATTGCATTAGGAGAGGGAAAGAGACATTCCTTGCTTGCAGAGCTAAACAGACAAGGCAACCACAGACGTGACATTCTTAGAAAGGGATGCATTTTATCTACCCATCTAAATGGCAGACATCCAGCCCCCTTAATTAATCAATGGAGAGAGTGGACGCCTTATCTTACTTCTCTAGACACTTACCTCAGAAGCTAACTCTCTTGAGAAGTACATGTCTCCCTTTATAACCAGCAAAGAGAGAGATGATTAATCATCTCATCTTGAGGCAGCATAAAGCAGGTGAGCAGTAAAAAGCTGTAAAAAGCAGTGAGCTATAGGGGTTTCAATACTATAATTAGTCAATAATATTGACTCAATGCCTAGTGTGTCACCCCTCCTTATTCATTATGTGGTCCTTTAGTTCCTCTCCACCCTTAGCTTTGACATAAAGGAAACAACAGGCTGAAGTTATTCATTTGAGCCCACTTGCTGAAAGGTGAACAGGCACCTGTAAATAGCCAGATGATTGATACAATCAAATAAAAGACTACATCTCCCAGTGCTACTATGGACATGTAACACCCATAATACATGGGGTGTTCCTGCTTCAAAGCAAGCCTAGGGTACTTTCAGAGGAAGAGTACTCAATACAAACCCTTCAGTTCCTGCAGACCTAGTAGGTATTCCTAGATATCCACCCATTTTGAATAGCCATCATTATATAGGACCTACTAGTGTGTCAAATCATGCTTATAATTGAACCATTTTCTTTTTCAGAAGAAGATAAAATTTCTGACCCTTCTGTTTTTCCTGGCAATGGGGATCCTAGTTTTTCTGTGCTTGCCGTCACTTTTCTTCCAGAAAACAGAGGGATGGTCCTACAGCGAAGGAATTTACTTTGCATTTATCACCCTCAGCACCATTGGCTTTGGAGATTATGTAGTAGGTAAGGTTGATTTCAGAGAGGAGACATAGTAAAGCACCAGGGTCATGACCGTAATTACCATGGGTTGACTGCACAGCCCACCAGTGTAATGTAGAGACAAATCTGTGTGAGTCTTTGACTAGTCTTTTTCTTGTACAGTTCTGGGGGTATTACTCATTTCTCTGTGATTGCATGTGCTAACAAAAACACAAAATTGTCTAAATATAATAAATGTGGTGCTTTGGGGCGCAAAGAAGACAAGCATTTTGGGGGAGGGAAGGGGAAGTGTAGGGGGAGAATTCAAGTAGCATAGGAATTTGCATATACTAAAAGGGAACAGTTTGAGACAGTCATATAAAATAAGGCAGGTATCTTTGCATAAGTCTTACCTAAGACTTATGTCTCAAAATGTATACTAAAGAAATAAGTGGTCATCTTTCAGAAGACATGATTTTACACAACAGGTAGAAATCCCTGTCATTGCAAAGCAGGGAAATCTACTCACCCTATGAGAAGTGGGTCTTAAACATAGATACCACTGTGAAAGTGGCCTTCTTTACTCTCCTATGCATCATAGAATCATAGAATTATAGTATAATTACAGTTGGAAAGGACCTTAAGGTCATCTAGTTCCAACCTCCTGCCATGGGCAGGGACATCTCACACTAAACCATGCCACCCAAGGCTCTGTCCAGCCTGGGCTTGAACACTGCCAGGGATGGAGCATTCACAACCTCCCTGGGCAACCCATTCCGGTGCCTCACCACCCTTACACTAAAGAGCTTCCTCTTTGTAGCCAATCTAAACTTCCCCTGTTTAAGTTTTAACCCGTTACCCCTTGTCCTGTCACTACAGTCCCTAATGAAGAGTCCCTCCCCAGCATCGTTATAGGCCCCCTTCAGATACTGGAAGGCTGCTATGAGGTCTCCACACAGCCTTCTCTTCTCCAGGCTGAACAGCCCCAACTTTCTCAGCCTGTCTTCATACGGGAGGTGCTCCAGTCCCCTGATCATCCTCGTGGCTCTCCTCTGGATTTGTTCCAACAGTTTCATGTCCTTTTTATAATCATATAATGTTTTTATAATCATATAATGTTTCCTACTGACTTTAATTTCTCTTAGTCTGCTAAAGAGGCTGGGTAGTGCATTGACAATGCAGTTGACATCTTGCTTGTTCGCATGAGTTTAGTGATTGTAATGATCTTGTAGACTGACGGTTAATTCATGCAATAGCAACGAGTTGATTAAGCAACATTTCCCCAAGTTATCCCAGCTAGCTAATTGCTCCCTCTTGCTACAAAGCATAGGAAACATGTCTCTTGAAATTTCTCTTTTCACATAATCCAGAGAAAGGTTCCTTGTCTCCAACAGTGGTTAAGCAGCATTGCCACAAACATGAAACAGAACTGAAGCAACAGCAAAGAATCTGTATCACACAACAGTGACCTCTTTGCTTACTGTTTTCTCCAGCTGGGGACAATCTTTGTCACTGCAGTGGAGGACAATAGGGCATAGGCATTTCTTTCCTGAACATCTAAAGGACTGGTGTCCTCAACATAAAAAGGACATGGAACTTTCGGAACAAGTCCAGAGAAGGGCCACGAGGATGATCAGGGGACTGGAGCACCTCCCGTATGAAGATAGGCTGAGGAAGTTGGAGCTGTTCAGCCTGGAGAAGAGAAAGCTGCATGGAGACCTCATAGCAGCCTTCCAGTATCTGAAGGGGGCCTATAACGATGCTGGTGAGGGACTCTTCATTGAGACTGTAGTGACAGGACAAGGGGTAACAGGTTAAAACTTAAACAGGGGAAGTTTAGGTTGGATATAAGAAGGAAATTCTTTCCTGTTAAGGTGGTGAGGCACTGGAATAGTTTGCCCAGGGAGGTTGTGAATGCTCCATCCCTGGCAGTGTTTAAGGCCAGGCTGGACGAGGCCTTGTGTGATATGATTTAGCGTAAGGTGTCCCTGCCCACAGCAGGGGGGTTGGAACTAGATGATCTTAAGGTCCTTTCCAACCCTAACGATTCTATGATTCTATGATAACCTTGGCCTGTGTGATGCTGAGCACCTCAAACACAGTGATGTGGAACACAGGAAGATGGAGAAAGATTGGTGCTATGTGGGAGAAAAAGTGAACATTAAACCGGTGCATTCTCTTCCTTTGTCTAAATTACAAGTGTGTTTTACAATAATGACAGCAAGTCACAGGCTGCTGTGACTATGTGCTCTGCAGACGTACTATTTTACAAATACAGTTAAAAAATAACAATTAGATAGGCCTCCTGGCACTGTGATTTCATCTTAATTAGGATAACTTAACTGGAGCTGAAATATTTTTTCCTGCAATATATATTGCAATTTGCCTTAAACAAAGGTGGTAAAATGATAAGTTTAATGCCTCACACCTCACAATGAAACAAGCAGAATCAATGACTGCTCTGAGTATCATTTGTTTAGAATTAATTACAGATGACAAATGGATTTGTGCTGGCCAAGTGGAACAGAACAGGTTTGAGTTTATTCACATTTTAGTAATTCAAAACCGATTTGTAGCTGTTGTATTTCAAGCATGAGATAAAGCCTGTTTTGGGTAGGAAGGTGACAGAGTCTGGATTTAACTGTAATACATATAGGTGATACCTCTAGGGTGAAACTCTCTTTGGGCTGTAAATTTATGCCCTGCTAAATCCAGTTTTGAGTTAACATTACAAAGATATTACTAGTTGCTTTGCTAACCCCACATCATGAACTTCAGATAAGAACACAAAAGGAGATGCTCTGTAGCAAGCCTGGCATCCCCTGTGCCAACTCAACCCCAGCAGCAGAAGCAGATGTTGGATATCTATCCATGAGGTCAAACCAGCCCCATTTTCACAGCTCTTGCCTGATGAAATACAAAAATCCTGCACATTGATCTATGCGCTACAGAGTCCTGCAGGACTTGAAAGGAGTTGCCAGTTGCGAAGCTCCTTCTGGGAAGCTTCACAAAGGTATATGATCCACAGGTTTGTGATCTCCCTGTCCATGCACCCTGCTGGGTTACCAACTATGTGGAGTCACCCTTGACAGTGACTTATAGCACTTGATACACAGTATCACCAAGTTTTCTTGCACAGCCATATAAGCTGTGTCATGATAACATCGTGTGGGACTAAGTGCAGTAGGAGCAAATTCTGTCTGTATGGTGGTGTATTGTTGACTGCAGAAATAAAATGACCCATTCAGAAAAGATACGGGCTGATGGTAAGAGATTTGGACTGCATGAAGTAAGCTTCGGTCTGGTTTCCAACATAGAAAATTGTATTCTTGGCATGTGTCAGTGAGTAAATTAGGAATTGCAACTACTCTCTTTGTATGATCAAGGTTAACTATAATTTAAAGCAAATATTTATGAAGTTATATTCACACTTTATAGAAATACACAGAATTACAATAACTTAGGCAGTAGTAGTTATGTGGTTATAGTGGTCCACTGTGCACTGCTGTTTGTGCTTTGTGAGTTTGTGAATATTTTCCAGATAATACAATACATTTTTACACTACTTCCCACATCATTGCCTTTAGGTGTAGAGGTTGAACTGGGATTGGTATGCTGTAAGGGGAAAAAATGCCCTGCTCTGCTGCTAGTTCAGTATATAAATATGTGAAATCCAGTATATCTTTTTACAGGCCAGCATGTTTGTGATAGCATGTATGAGTTTATTGTAACAGCAAGAGATTGCCCAACCTTAACCTAATGCTGGGGAGGTGAGAGAATCCACTATGATGAAAAAGTCACCTTAAAGTACTCCACATAAAATACACCGATGAATCCACTAGGCTGGCCCACTTTACACCAACAGAGAAATTTTAACTTGATAATTTTCTTCTTCTTTCTCCCTCCTTATCTGCAGGTAAACAGCCTGGCAGGAATTACTTTTCCTACTATCGAACACTAGTGGCCATCTGGATCCTTTTTGGTCTTGCTTGGATTGCTCTCCTATTTAATTTATTGACAACAGTACTAGAAGATACTGAAAAAATAATTGTCAAGGATATCCATCAAATTGGAAAGGTGAGTAAGGACAATGTAGCAAGCCAACAAAGAAGATGCTGGCCTTCTCAGTTTATTCCAGAAGAAGAACTACTATCAGCACATGCTGGAGGGGATGCACAGAAAATGGAGTCATTAGAACCAGATTCTGAGCAGACAAAAACGGAAAAAAATGCTTTTTCTTAGAGCAAAACTATTGCCATAACATATGAGAATTGAATTCTTCATTGGAGAGTTACTAGTTAATTATTCTAAAGAAATTCCCATGGAAATAAAATTTCTCCTACCTTTGGCTGAGATACGACCTTTCAGAACTCAAGACTTAGTTACACAAAGCCTGAATATTAACAGTAAGAAATTTGCTCAATTTGCAGCTAGGTTGTGCTGACAGCCTGAGAAGTGCACTTATTTTACAAGGAGTTTTTAAGGTGCTTCTATGAAAATGCAGAGGAGGGGCATGGTAGCACTTGCTGGTTCTGTTTCAATTTTGCTGCTTGCAATCATGTCTCTTCCAGGAATTGGCACACACAAGCTTTTCTGAGGCATTGTATAGTACCTTTGGAAGAAGACAGAAGGATATATAACGTAATAGATGCCTGATTTAAGCCATCATATTGGCTAAGCTATTATGATCTAAAAGACTTTAAAGGACAAGACCTGAGCTCAGTTCAGAGGCACTAGAAGCATCCAATGAACAGGGCTAGAAAAAGGTTAGCATGTTAGAAACTGTGAATTCTACCTCTTCCTCTTTTATACTAAGATGAATAAAGGCAATTTCACCTTTTATCCCTGTGGCTTTGAAAAATTTTTCTGATTATATTTATAAAGAACAAATAAAACCTTGTCTTTAATTCAAATTTTATAGTAATTTTATAATAATTCATAAGAACAGAGACTCGTTTGAATAGAGGAGTCCTCACTGTATCAGCACCTTGCTATGGTGTTTATATTCCATAGGAGCTATAAAGTTGTTTAAAATTACTGTCCTGTGCCAAGATTGCTTTTCAAGTGTGAGTGTTGTCTAAGCAGTGCAGCCTTACTTTCAATCAGGTAGAAAAAGGATGTTGAATCTGGGCATGCTGTTTCAGATGTACTGCCTGGCATGCATGCAGGCCATCGCTGGCTGAACACCCTGTCCTTTAAAGGCCTGAAATATGTATCAGATACCTTCTGTGTGTCAAAAGTGCACGAAACCCTACCCTGAAGCGCTGGCAAAGCAGCTGTGGTAAACACAGTCATCGAGATGAAAAGTCCCATAGGTGTATATGGTTATACTAAAAGTCATTCTAGTCAAATATCCTGTCTCTGACCATGCCTACTGCATATGCCTCCGAATAGCATAAGAACAAGGCAGTTCTGCCATGCTTCCTCTTCCAGTAGTCAGTGGCTCAAAGGCTGCCCAAAAAAGAGAGGGGGTCTTTGTATTTCAAAGACCATGAACCTGCCCAAATGCTAAACTCATATGAGCATCCACAGGACCCACTCAAGGCAGTCCATAGGTTTAGTGCACAAAGGACCTTCCTTTGATGGTGCTGAACATGTTGCTTGACAGGTTTTTATGATATCCTCAAGTTCCTATTTTGTCAGTGAGTAATTGTTCTCCGGGTGTTTGTTACAGCAAGACCAGTCCTTGCCAGAGCTATTCCTATGTGAAAGGGAGAATAAATTATAGTTATAAGGCAATTTTAGGCTATAAAGATGCAATCAGCCTCAAAGTTGAATTCATAACTATTTCAGTCAAACATAATGTCCTGGGTTCAGCTTTAGCAGTCATGTTTCCCCTCCTCGGTAGCTGGTGCAGTGCGGTGTTTTGACTTTCAGCTCGGGAACAGAGCTGATAGCGATGTTTTGGTTTGGCCAAGGACTTTCTGAGCCTCATGCTCTGCCAGGGAGGAGGGGAAGCTGAGAGGAAGCAGAGACAGGACACCTGACCCAAACTGACCAAAGAGGTATTCCATACCACAGCACGTCATGCCCAGGAGGAAACTGGGAGTGAGCCGGAAGGGCTGGGAGTCTGCAGGGTTGGAGGAGGTATCGGTCGGAGCTTGGTCGGGCTTGGGGGGCGAGTTATCGGTCAGTTGGTGCTGAGGTGTTGTATTCTCTTCCCTTGTTATTTCCTTTATCATTATTATCATTGGTGGTAGCAGTAGTGATCTCTGTTATACCTTAGTTACTAAACTGTTCTTATCTCAACCTGTGGGAGTTGCATTCTTTTCGATTCTCCTCTCCGTCCCTCCGGGAGTAGGGGGAGGGAAAGAAGGGGGGGAGTGAGTGAATGAGTTACCTGACTGGGTTTAAACCACGACACAAAACCACACTTCTTGTCAAAACAACTCTGCTGGTTCAAGACCTGGCATGTAGAACTGACCAAATATGTACTTTCTTTTTGCCCCCAAATTATTTTCCAGTGTTACCCTTAAGCCTGACTTCTCACCTAATGTATCTCACTGTCAGTAAACCTTTCTGAGGCAGCAGGAACAAGAACTGAGTGAAACTGGGGTAAGGTGGCAGGGGTGTTGTAGGACACAGTGGTCTTTCTGCAAGCCATGACCCTGTTACTATCACAAGGCAACACCATAGCCAGGCACAGAAAGCAGATGGATGCTCCCAGGCAGGGATATCTTCACCTCTCAATTTAGCTTTCTCACCAAGCATTGACTCACACTGTTATTTTCCAGGCATCATTTTTTCTCTTCTATATTTTCCCACCAATTCCTGGAAGGCCCATTAATAGAGATACTGTCAGAATTGGTTTAGGGAGAGGTGGTCCTGTCTTGGGGGCATTTTGCACAGCTTCTCATAATTCCTTCTAGGTCAGTTCCTGGCATTTGATACCACCCCAGGTGGCAGACACGGCCTCTGGTCCAGCACAATGCGTGTCTATTTGCTGTCCCTATTGCAGGGGAGAAAGAAAAGCCTACAAGGAACATCTTGAATTAAACACAGCTCTGAAGAGTTTTCTTCAGTTTGTTCCCATGGTCCCACTTGCTCCTTGTCCTGATAAATAACACAACCCAGATGTAAAACAAGCTGCAGCAGAGAGCATTCAAGGATGCTTGTTTAAACATTTCAGGAAGGGTAAGAGAGATTGCAAAGGGACTTTGACCATAAATAGTAAGCACAGACCCAGGCAGTGGCTCTTTGAGAACAAGAGGACAAATTCTCTGTCCTTCACATTGGTGGGTGTTTAACAAGAAGCCATGGAACCAAGGACTTATTGTTTCCAAAAGTCAGTCTGCTCTATGCAGCTATTGTCATAGGGTGCAAGCAATTCACACTTGTCCTGGGTTCAGCAGTAGCAGTCATGTTTTTCTCCTTCTTGGTAGCTGGTGCAGTGCAGTGTTTTGACTTTCGGCCTGGGAACAGAGCTGATAACAAAGATGTTTTGGTTTGGCCAAGGACTTTGTGAGCCTCATGCACTGCCAGGGGGGAGGGGAAGCCAGGAGGAAGCAGAGACAGGACACCTGACCCAAACTGACCAAAGAGGTATTCCATACCACAGCACGTCATGCCCAGGATGTAACTGGGAGTTAGCCGGAAGGGCTGGGGGACTGCAGGGTTGGAGGAGGTATGGGTCGGTGCTTGGTCGGGCTGGGGGGGGGCAAGTTATCGGTCGGCTGGTGCTGAGGTGTTGTATTCTCTTCCCTTGTTATTTCCTTGATCATTGTTATTATTGGTGGTAGCAGTAGTGATTTGTGTTATACCTTAGTTACTAAACTGTTCTTATCTCAACCCGTGGGAGTTGCATTCTTTTCGATTCTCCTCTCTGTCCCTCCGGGAGCAGGGGGAGGGCAAGAAAGGGGGGGAAGTGAGCGAACTAATTGCCTGACTGGGTTTAAACCACGACAGTTCTTTTTGGTGCCCAACGTGGGGCACGAAGGGTTGAGATAATGACAGATTTGACTGGATTAATAGTCACTCGTCACAATGCTGATTTATTGGCTCTCAGAGTTGTTCTTGTTGATCTCACAGCTTCAGAATGTTGTAACTTACGTAGAGCCGGTATTTGCTGTGTTGGTGTTTATCAAGTGTGGGGCTTGGGCTAAGGTTCTTGTCTCACTGTGCTTTATGGCAATGGGTTGTAATACGGGCGGGCTCCAGCAGCAGGGCGGGACGGACGTGGCCGTGGACTTGTACCTGCCCGTCCGGCTGCTCTTCACCGGCCTGGCCCTCGTCCTCGCTTCCATCTTCGTGAGGCTGCGGGGAGCCGAGGGGGAGCGGCCCCGGGAGCCGGCGGCTGCTGAAGCGACTCGGGAGAGGGGCCCCGGGGACCAAGCGGCGGCGGGAGCGGGGCCGGAGGCTGCGAGGGGACGGCTGCCGGTGGAGGAGGTCGGGGCGGTCGAGGAGAGGAAGGAGGTGGCTGCTGAGCAGCGGGAGAAGGCGGCGGAGGAGCCGAGCCCCGCGGCCGAGCCCAGCCCCGCGACGGCCGAGAGCACTCCCCGGAAGCCGCCCGCCGAGCCCCAGGAGGACGCAGGAGACCACGCAGCATTTCCCAGCAAGGCAGAGGAGGAAGAGCTGGACTCAGGAAAAGAGAAGCTGGCGGTGGGAGAGCCGGCAAACACAGCAGCTACACCAGCCCCAGTGACAAGTACAGCAGCATCAACTGAGAGTTCTGAAGGCTCTGAATGGCCTTTGGGTACCCTTGGGACCTGCCTGCTGATTGTGATGGGGATCAGCATGTTGGCACACACACAGGCTGTGTTCTACCCACAACCATTTTGTCTGATCTCAAAAGTTAAGCAGAGTCAGGTTTGGGTCTTGTCTGGGGTTAGACGACGATGCAGGGGGACCAAGAGGTTTTCTCCAAGGCTGGACAGTCATGAGTGGCAGGGTGTGTGGGACAGTATGGGCAAGTATCTAGTCCACTGGGCCCCTCCAGTGCTTTGGAAGCATCGGAGATGGAAGGCAGCTGTATGGAGTCCCCAGCAACAAGCTGCAGAAACTGCTGGAGGGGACAGTGAATTATTTTCAGCCTGGTGGGCCCATGGCACTTCCGGCCATCAGAGCAGAGATGCAACACAGAGATGGACTCATGATCGAGGGGTGGACTTAGCAATGGACACTATTGCCCAGGTTATTCACGAGTGTGAACACTGCACACAGCCTCTCCTGCTCTGGAAGACTGTTACAAGAGATGGAGCCTGACATCATGGACCAGATGGACTCAGCAGCTTTATAGCTACTGGTCCATGCACTTAGATAAGAGTGATGGTATATTGAAAATGTGGGATCTGAGCATGACGTGAATGGTATGGAATAAGGGGTGGATAATGTCCTGGGTTCAGCAGTAGCAGTCATG